AACCTAAGATTTCTATACCAGTACATGGTGAATATATTCACACATATGCACATGCAAAATTTGCTAAAGAATGCGGTGTAGCAAAAGCAATAATGATTAAGCCAGGAGATATTATTAATCTGGAGGATGGAGAAAAGGTTAATTCAGTTAATGTTGATTATTTTGGTATTGATGGTAGATTATTGCGTTACCCAGAGAGTAATGTTATAAAAATGCGTCGCGCGATGAGAGATGCTGGCATCATTCTAGTTACGGCAGTTGCGAATAGAAGAAATGCACTACTTGCTAAACCTAAAGTATATGCACCTGGTGTTTTGGAACCGTCAGAAGATGCATTTATCATACAAAAAATTATAGCAAAGGTTGAACAGGCATTCAATTTGCGGCAAACAAAAGAGATTAAAAATAAGATAGAAAGTTCCGTACTAAGTGTTTTAAAGGAATATTTACTAAAAAAACCTATAGTCGAAGTTTGCATAGAAAAGGTATAAATGAAAAGATGTAACTACTTATTAATCTTGATTTTATTATCTATTTCTTGTTTTGCTCAGGATATATTATATGTTGATATAAGAAAAAAAGATACCCTATATGTTGATATAAAGAAAAACAGTACTGACAACATAAATCTTGTTGTTTCTGTAAGTCTATGTAACACAGATCTGGAAAATAAATTAAGTGAAAGAATGACAAAGGTTATTAAAAAAAATCTTTCTCATTGCGGCTTATTTAGCGTGAAACATAATTCAACAATTAATAACGATGCATTAGTGACAATAAATTTAAGTGAAATATCAGACAGAAAGTTAAAGTTATCATTTAGCTTGCTTGATGCTTTTACTACAAAAGAATTAATCAGTAAATCTATGATCTTCTCAGAAAAGGAGTGGAGGGAAATTAGCCATCTTGTCTCAGATATGATTCACGATAGACTGACTGGTGAAAAAGGACATTTCGGCACAAAAATTACATATATTGCTGAAGAAAAAGATAACAACTACAAATCTATACGTAGAATAGCTATTATGAATCGAGATGGAAGTAACATAAAATATTTAACGAATGGTGATAAATTCGTATCAACACCAAGATTTTCGCCAAATGGAAGAGGTATTGTTTATGTATCATATATAAATGGTGAAAGTTATATAACACTGAAAAATTTAATAGATAATACAGAGTCAGTAGTTAATGTATTTGAAGGAGTAATTTCTGCTCCACGATTTTCTCCTGATGGAAAATCTCTTCTTGTATCTCATTCGCTTGATGGTGTAACAAACATATTATCTTTAGATTTAAATAGTAAGCGTACGAGTAAGATTACTAAAAATTCAGCTATTAATACTTCTCCCTCTCTATCTCCAGACCAAAATTACATGGTTTTCAGTTCTGACATAAGTGGCAGTCAACAG